AACATATTGCACACACCTACAATTATTCCAAGAACAAGTGGCGACTTATGCTTGCTAACTGATGCACAAAACAACAACAAACCTCTGGTTACATGAAACATATTCAACAAACACACAAGACGTAACCGGCTGTACGTTTGAAAAAATAATATATACTATTCATTGTTAAGAATTGTAGATTTCAACAGAAGTAGCTCATAAAGTTGAACGAAAAAAGTAGAAGACCCAGTGGATCAGTTCATTCTCTAATCAGTTTATGCATGAGGTCCATATTAGTGAAAATGTCTATTTCACCTGTCAGTTCAGAGAGTCCAACAATCCACACGAAAGGTTGTTACAGTTCCACAGAATCCTTTCACAGAGTCTAAGACAAGGATTTCCGGAATATTAGCCTTGTTTCACCGTCCTGGGCTCCACCAACCTCAGCCCTGCTGGGCCTCTTCTGGCAGGGGAAATAGGGACATTCCAGGATCAAATCAGAAGCCGGGATGGATTTCGTTAATTCTGGGGCTGTCCCTGGGAAATCGGGGACATTTGGAGGGTATGATTCTTCTATGAGAATATGCCCAAGTGCTAGCATCTTCTTCAGAGGCCTTTTTCTGAGACTCACCTTCAGAGGTAGAATCATGCAATTGTATAATAATAATAATAATAATAATAATAATAATAATAATAATAATTTATTATTTATACCCCTCTCATCTGGCTGGGTTTCCCCTGCCACTCTGGGCGGCTTCCAACAAAAGATTAAAAATACATTAAAACACCAGTCACTAAAAACTTCCCTAAACAGGGTTGCCTTCAGATATCTTCTAAAAGGCAGATAGTTCTTTATTTCCTTGACATCTGATGGGAGGGTGTTCCACAGGGCGGGCACCACCACCAAGAAGGCCCTCTGCCTGGTTCCCTGTAACTTGGCTTCTTGCAGTAAGGGAACCGCTAGAAGGCCCTCGACGCTGGACCTCAGTGTCCGGGCAGAATGATGGGGGTGGAGTTGGTCATCTGCAATGCAGGAAGTGAGGTGGGGGAAGAAGTAACTAGGGAAAGAGGATTGTCAATGGTGAGGTTCCATCGATGGACAACTCTTTCTGGGGTGAGGCAAGGGGTCTGTGTGGCATCCTGTTTGCTAAGTTCTAGGCACAAGGTCAATATCTTTATTTATTGTCTGTGCATGTGTGATTTTGATGTAATCTTCTAAGTAAATCTTATATAGGTTGGGCTGCTAGCCATCCTAAGTATTTTAATATTTTTGCTGCAGCGTGTTGCTTTTGAATTTTGCTTTGCATTGAGCTGTCGCATTTTAATTTGATGTTTTAGTCTTTCTTTCTTTTTAACTGCACACCAGTTTGCACATTTTCATCGAAAATGGGAGAAGGGGGCTATAAATTACTGAAATAATTTGCATCTCATCTCATTTATCTCACACTTCTTTTGGTGTTTCAGAACGATGTCCGCTCTGGGTTTTTGCTAATACACGTGTGTTTACATTTACTTGATTAATCAATCAAAAGGCAGGCGGTCAGCTTTGTTTTTCAACGGTTTAAAAATATTTATATCTAGCCTCTTCACAAGGTGAACAACAGGCTGGATACAGACGGTTAAGTTGATTGAGCTAAGGTCCCATTGAAAATCCAGTTAGCAGTGACTTGATTACAATGGGAACTGAGTACAAGTGACACAGGTTTGTATCCAGTAAATTAATGGGCATGACTAACATAAGTCTATTGATTTCAGCGAGTCTACTTGGAGTATGACATAGTTGGATCCATTGCCATAAAACAAAGCAATCACCAATAAAATATAGCCAAAGCAGCCAGCAGATTAAAATAGCAACAAATCACATTAAAACCCTTTTAAAACCTAGTGAAATCATGGGGGTTTTATTCGGTGTCTAAAGCAATGCTAGGCTGAAGTCTTTGATTGAGCTTTTACCTGCACTTTTGGAAGCGGGGACCATACCCTCCAACATTTCTCCAATGAAAATACGGACCTCCTACTCCATAATAACAATAATTTAATTATTTGCACCTCACTCATCTGTCTGGGTTGCCCCAGACTTTCTGGGCGGCTTCCAACAGATATAAAGACATAATAAAATATCGAACATTAAAAAAACTTTCCAATACAGGGCTGCCTTCAGATGTCTCCTAAAGGTTGTTTAGTTACTTATCTCCTTGGCTCAGGGGGTCACATAACTCCATACCCTCCGACATTTCTCCAATGAAAATAGGGATGTCCCAAGGAAAAGCAGGACTGTATTTTAATATTTGCTTGGAAGCTGCCCAGAGTGGCTGGGGAAGCCCAGCCAGATGGGCAGGGTATAAATAAATTATTATTATTATTATTATTTATTATTATTATTCCGAGGGGGGGCTTTATAGAGGAGGTGGCTGAGGATTCCCTGACCGTTTAAGCCACTGCTCCAAGTGGTGGTTTAAGATGCTCTAAACAGCCTAATTCTCACTCAGGTTGAAAATGTGGCCAGAACTCCCACAGAAACTAGGCTACGGAATGACACAGCATTGCTTTAATGCATCGGTGGTAGCCAATAAAAATTGCAGCATGCAGAGTTAACTGAGAAAGAAATTATGACTGGGGCCGCAGTATCTGATGCCATAATGTCCATTTTACAGCTTTGCCAATGTGGCTGGCTATTCCCTTGGCACCTGGGCATAGCCAGTAGAGTACAGATAATCTACTAATCTGGTTCCTATGCCACTCGCTAGAGTGAGTAGAAATAAATTGACATAAACATAGATGCCTGTTATTATTTTTCTTCCACAGCTGACAACTAGCCAAGTTGTTGATGTTAAATGAAATAAGAATCTGAGCATCCATTTTTTTTTTCACTGCTTGAGGGCAATGTCAATCCAGACGTGGTTGTGTTTGGGGAGGCAATGCTCTCCTGCAGTGCGCAAGGAATTATAAAGTACACTGCATTTCAGAAGGTGATGTTACCCTGTTTTTCTTCCTGATATGAAACATGTTTACTTAGAAATAAGCTCCACTGAGTTCAATGGGACTTACGTCTTGAAAACTAAGCCTTAGGAATGAAGCTTTTGCAAAGTATCACAGGAGAAAGCTTTCAAAACCGTACTAAGATAAAAAGATGAACACAAATTCTGTGCAATGCACCAGCTTTTGTGTACAACACCAGAAATAAATCACATGGCACAGCATTCTTGGGATGGTGATGCTTTAGAACTGAAGAGGAGGGACTGCTGCCTTACTTTTCCATTATATGAAACACACAAACGCATGTGTTCAGATCCTTCAACATAGAAAACTAGCATGTTAAGGTTTTAGCTTTGACATCTAACGTGCTAGCTTTTATTCTGCAGGGAGTCATACAACTATTCATTTGCGTGGCGAGATCCCGCCTTCCCACCAATAGAAATAAAGACACAGGACACAGTAATTTAGGTTAATGGGCTAAAATTAGGCCACAACTTTATTGGTTACAGGTGATTAACGGTATTGGCTTGGGCATTGGTCCTATCGACTATCCGGCTTCAGCCTGATTGCTTGAAGACCGGGAAGGGTTAATACCAGCAGGGGGAGCCCTGCTGATGAACATCAACTAGGGACTCCCCCGGGGTCACCACTCAGGGGCGTGCTTTAGGCCCTGGCCGCCATAGGCTTCGGACGAGGCCACGCCCCCCAGAATCCTTTACCGGACTACCCTTAAATATTTGGGGTAGGTGATGGCGCCCCCCCCATACATCTACATAACAATACCCATACCAATGCTTAACCGCCAAAGCTGATTTGCTACGAGGTAGGCGAAAAACCAAATGGCTGGTGCCAATTTGCCAAGTGGCCATAGCAAGGTCAAAAGAGGAACCTTGAAGGGCAGGCGGGTGGGAAACAAACGCAGCTGAGTGGCCAAAGAGGGAGATTCCCAGCCGCGCTTGCCTTAAATGAGGCAAGCCACACCCCCTGGGCCAGCTGATTGGCTGGCCTGGGGATGACACGGCCGAGGATTTCCCAGATCGCGCCGGGCTGGAAGCCAGCCTCCGCGCGCGTGTTGGGGCGTGATGCCCGCAACACCACCTCCTCCCAAGGTCGGAAGTGGCGTTGTACAACTCTCCCTCTGTATTCTGAAGCAGTACAGTCTTGTGATTCTCAGATGAACGGTAGCATAGATGATGATGGTGGTGGTGGAGGTGGTGATGACGACGACGATGATAATAATAATAATAATAATAATAATAATAATAATAGGCGTGGGTGGTAAAATCTCAGGCCTCTAACAACTTGACCAGAGAGAGAGACTTGACCAATTACTGATAGCATGGAAGCCAAGGCGACTTTTTCTGAAACCCAACAACCAACACCATCACTTACAGACACCGCTCTTTAACCTCTGGCAGCTCAAATTCTGGAATGCCTCTGTTTTGACTAGATTTACTTGAGCAGATATTTCCATGCCTCTCTCTCACCCGAAATAGTTCTCCCTGAGAGAGAAAGTAGAGACAGAGCAGGAGGAGTATGAACTCCCTCCTATCAGATGTCAAGGAAATAAATAACTCTCTTACTTTTAGAAGACATCTGAAGGCAGCCCTGTTTAGGGAAGTTTTTAATGTTTGTTGTTCTATTTATTATTTTATTTATTATTATTATTATTATTATTATTATTATTATTATTATTATTATTTTGGGAGCTGCCCAGATGGGTGGGGTATAATTAAATGATGATGATGATGATGATGATGATGATGATGATGATGACAAGTATGCAGCCATCACCAGACCTTGTGCTAGTGATTTACATGTGTCCACAATACATTGTGCAAAGGAGAACTTCCCTATGCCTATCTTAAACCAACAGCAAATGCATTTTACTGAGGCCAGTATTACTGTTTCTTCTGATTGCTATCATGCTCCCCAAACCCCAGTAATCAGATTCCTGGCTGATTTCTCTTTCTCTTGTTTCTCACCTCCAGTTTCTAAAGACCTGAGCACCCACCCTGCTCTTCACTGAAGCATGAACATTGGACATGGCCACCCGCCGCTGCACTCGGAAGCCTTCGCTGGTGCCTGGAGTCTCTAGGATGGTTTGGAAGCACCTGGTCCTCTTCTTCCTCTGGCTGCCATCGCTCGTTTGGGGCGGAGCCTCCCCCACCTCCTGCCCGGCCGCTTGTTCTTGCAGCAACCAGGCCAGCCGGGTCATCTGTACGCGCCGGGAGCTGGTGGAGGTGCCCGAGAGCATCTCCATCAACACGCGGTACCTCAACCTGCAGGAGAACAACATCCAGGTCATAAAGACGGACACTTTCAAGCACCTCCGTCACCTCGAGATTTTGCAGCTCAGCAAGAACCTCATCCGCAAGATTGAGGTGGGAGCCTTCAATGGCTTGCCCAACCTCAACACGCTGGAGCTTTTTGACAACCGGCTGACCACTGTCCCCACACAAGCCTTTGAGTACCTCTCCAAGTTGCGGGAGCTGTGGCTGAGGAACAACCCCATCGAAAGCATCCCTTCCTATGCCTTCAACCGAGTCCCTTCCTTGCGCCGGCTGGACCTCGGAGAGCTCAAGAAGCTGGAGTACATCTCAGAGGCAGCTTTCGAAGGCTTGGTCAACCTGCGCTACCTGAACCTGGGCATGTGCAATCTCAAGGACATCCCTAACTTGACAGCCTTAGTGCGGCTGGAGGAACTGGAGCTCTCTGGGAATCGCTTGGACATGATCCGGCCAGGCTCCTTCCAGGGGCTGACCAGCCTCCGCAAATTGTGGTTGATGCACGCCCAGGTGGCTACCATCGAACGCAACGCCTTCGATGACCTCAAGTCCTTGGAGGAGCTCAACCTCTCCCACAATAACTTGATGTCGTTGCCGCACGATCTCTTCACCCCCTTGCACCGCCTGGAGCGTGTCCACCTCAACCACAACCCTTGGCACTGCAACTGCGACGTGTTGTGGCTCAGCTGGTGGCTCAAGGAGACTGTGCCCAACAACACCACCTGCTGCGCCCGGTGCCACGCCCCACCCAACCTCAAAGGGCGCTACATCGGAGAGCTGGATCAAAGCCATTTCACCTGCTACGCCCCAGTTATAGTGGAGCCTCCCACTGACCTTAATGTGACTGAGGGGATGGCGGCTGAGCTGAAATGCCGGACAGGGACCTCCATGACGTCCGTCAACTGGCTGACGCCCAACGGCACGCTGATGACGCATGGTTCCTACCGGGTGCGCATCTCAGTCCTCCACGATGGCACGCTCAACTTCACCAATGTGACCGTCCAGGATACGGGACAGTACACTTGCATGGTGACTAATTCGGCGGGCAACACCACGGCTTCGGCCACACTCAACGTCTCAGCGGTGGACCCAGCCACCACAGGTTACACCTACTTCACAACGGTGACCGTGGAGACCATGGACCCGGGCCAAGAAGAATCCGTCCCCACGAAGAAGGAACCTGGGCCGACGCCGTCTCAGGGCTGGGGCATGACTTATTCCACCACCTCACTGACCCCTCGCAGCACCCGCAGCACGGAGAAGCCATTCACCATCCCCATCACCGACGTCACCGAGAGCGGCATGAAGGACCTGGACGACGTCATGAAGACCACCAAGATCATCATTGGCTGCTTCGTGGCCATCACCTTCATGGCTGCCGTGATGCTCATCGTCTTCTACAAGCTCCGCAAGCAGCACCAGCTTCACAAGCACCACGGCCCCACGCGCACCATCGAGATCATCAACGTCGAGGATGAGCTGCCCGCCTCGGCCGGGGCGCCCGGCGACAGCCACCTGGCTCTGCCCGCCATCGAGCACGACCACCTCAACCACTACGCCGCTTTCAAGGCCCACTACAACAACAACAGCGGTGGCGGACCCCTCACCTGCGGCTCCAAGAACCCCATGCTCAATTCCATCCACGAACCTCTCTTGTTCAAGAGCAGCTCGAAAGAGAATGTCCAAGAGACACAGATATGACGGCCAACAGACCCAGGCAACGGGGAATTCTTGTGTGGTGGGAGGGAGCAAGTGGATTCGTACATGCAGTGGGGGGGGAGTTGAGGAACGGCTCCTCCGTGCCCTCCCCCCCCCACAAACAAACAAACAAACATCAGCAGATCTTTCCACCACTGTGGCAGATCTTGGATGCTGAGCCCTTGCCCGAGTGGACACCTTTGATTCTCACCACTTTAGCCTTTTCAGTTCTCTTATTTTCCTTTTGCAGAACAAGGTACTACGCTCGCCCTCGGCCTGACCATTCCCCCCCTTTCCTTTCTCCACCCCCCCACCTCACTTTTCTTCTTTTTTCTACCGATCTCCCTCTGCATTGGAGACTTCTTCTTTTTCTTTCTTTTTATACAGATGGGGCTGTTTCTGTATCCAACTACCTGCTGTATTACTTTAATAATTTTTTTTTTTAAAAAAAGAGGAAGGAAGAAAACAAACAACAACAAAATAAGGAAAGATCGCTATCCGATTTGTTTTCCTTTTTGACATCATGGGAATAAACTTTAGGAAAGGAAAATAAAACCTAAGGGAAACGGGAGAGGGAAGAAGAAGAAGAAGATGATGAAAAAGAAGAAAGAAATCTTATTTTGATCCGCTTTCCGTCAAAATTCTATTTTCATCCAAATGGGATATACAAACTAAATAAATTAAGTAAAGAGACGAAAGGTCATGGTGGTGCCAGGGTCCCCCCCCCCCACCTTTGGAGCACGCGGGGATGCCAGGCGCACAGGGTTCGGGGGGAATTTTTTATGACTAGTATTATTACTATGGGATGGCAGGCATGGCCGGTGTGCCCCCCAGAGACACAGGGGCGTGGAGGTATTTTTTAATTTGTAATAATCTGGGGGTGGGAATGAGGGGTTTGGTGGGGGGCTGCACTTCCGGCCACACACAAAAAAATCAAGGCCTGTCGATTCCCTTGGCATTTTGGGGTCTGGTCTGAGTTTCCTATTTTAATAAAATCCATAAAGATGTTTCCAACCCTCCCTAGGGTGCTTCTTTTGGGATGGGGGCAAGTGAGTGTGCCGCTTGCATCGTGAGGCTGCTGTGGCTCAGCGCCAACGGAGTGTCACGTGCGCCAGGTTTGTTGAGGGATCGCCATGGCAATGACGTCAGCGAGGTATGTGCACGCAGGCTGCAACATGCATTATCTCGCAAAGAACACCCCTGTGGCTGTACCATACACTGTATACATGGCTGGACCTCATACCTTTGACAGGAAGGGCAGTCTAGGAGTTGGCACTGATATCGTTGCTCCCTAGGGAGTGAAATGTGGCCTCTGCTGATGAATCTCCTTTTTTTACATGGAATCCCAAGAACGGAGCCTGCTATTTTTTATTTTTAAAAAAACCCTAGAATGTGGTTCTGTTGTTTGCTCATTTATATAGCCCCATTGATGAGTATGGTGCTGTTATTATTTGTAGGGACGCGGATGGTGCTGTGGTCTAAACCACTGAGCCTCTTGGGCTTGCCGTTCGGAAGGTCGGCAGTTCGAATCCCCATGAAGGGGTGAGCTCCTGTTGCTCTGTCCTAGCTCCTGCCAACCTAGCAGTTCAAAAGCATGCCGGTGCAAGTAGATAAATAGGTACCACTCCGGCAGGAAAGTAAACGGTGTTTACGTGCACTCTGGTTTCCGTCACGGTGTCCCATTGTGCCAGAAGCGGTTTAGTCATGCTGGCCACATGACCTGGAAAGTTGTCTGTGGATGAACAAGATGAGTGCCACACTCCATAGGAAAAACCGGGAGCTGAAAGCAGGTTCCCAATTGTTATTTCGCTGGAGCGAGACACACCTCCACCCGCCTCAAAACAACTGCTCCTGCAGGTTCCTTCGAGTGATGCCAAAAGGTTTTCCCGACCCCATAATTCTGCCCCATCCCTCTATATATACTTAAAAACAAAATTGGATTTAATAATGAACGATAACAATGATTTAGAATAGTGCAAAATAGCTGGTGGGAAAGGCTTTTGAAAGGCAGGCTTGAGAAGTGTAGTTCTCATCGTGCCCATTTTGGCATGCATCACAATATTTTGAAGGGCAGCTGTGTTTCAGCGCATCTGTTGGTTCAGGAAGGGCAAATTGGGTAGGGCTGCATGAAAATGCAAAGTGAACAAAGAGGCTTAAAACCTCCTACCCAATGCCTTATCCCCAACCAAGCCAGGCTAGCCCCCCCCCCCCCCGAAATCTGGCACATGACCGCCCACCAGTGGCGAGGGCTGAGGAGTGTGGAGGATGTGTGCCATGATTTGACCATGTGCACACTTTTGTATGTGAGATACAACAAGCATTTCTTGAAGGGATGGGTCTAATGCACCAGGCTGAGCACATACACAGGAAAATGCTGCAGTTTACGACCTTGGTTTGTTGGAAACAAATGGAGATTTAATTTCCTGCAACCTGAGAGATTCTTGAAAAGAGTTTTCCGTAGCACCTTAGAGGCCAATTAAGTTTGTTATTGGTATGAGCTTTTGCGTGCATGCACACTTCTGAAGAAGAAGAGGAGGAGGAGTTTGGATTTGATATCCCGCTTTATCACTCCCTGAAGGAGTCTCAAAGCGGCTAACATTCTCCTTTCCCTTCCTCCCCCACAGCAAACACTCTGTGAGGTGAGTGAGGCTGAGAGACTTCAAAGAAGTGTGACTAGCCCAAAGTCACCCAGCAGCTGCATGTGGAGGAGTGGGGAAGCGAACCTGGTTTACAAGATTATGAGACTACTGCTCTTAACCACTACACCACACTGGCTCACACATCACACTGGCTCACTGAAGAAGTGTTCATGCACACGAAAGCTCATACCAATAACAAACTTAGTTGGTCTCTAAGGTGCTACTGGAAGGATTTTTTTTATTTTGTTTCGACTACGGCAGACCAACATGGCTACCTACCTGTAACTTGAAAAGAGCTTTCAGACATTCTCAGATTCTGCTCCCAGCATACTAGTACCTTTCACCCAAAATCGCCTGGAATATCCAGTTGAGCTATTGGCTAGAAGATGACGTGACTATTATATTTAGTGGATCCAAGCTGTTTCCTATTCAGTGGGCGATCCGCCGAGACTCTCCTATGAATATTATCAGTGACTTTATTGGGGAGGCTGGGAGTAAAATGCAACTGGGTACATCAGCTGAAATGCATTAGCTGGAAAATGAAAGGTGCAAAGTATTTCCCATGCCCTCTCAGCATTACATTTGAGGGCATAAACGCATCGTTATTCCCCAGTGGGATTTATATTGCTTTGAAGTATGTTTCCCAAAGGGGGACTTGATGCAGCTTTGATCCTATGGGCACATGCGCCTGGAACATGCTTTTCTTTCAAAACACACGTGTGCAATGAGGATTTGGACCTGCACGGACATGAATGCAGGAAGGCAGAAATCTCCACTGGAAATGCTTTTGCACACTGACTAGATGGAAAAGAATTCACCTCTTCCTGTCCCACCACCTTTTCAGGGTTACTTTTATTTTTCAGCTGCTCTGGATGGTTCCTGTTGATACTGAAGTACCAGAACGCACTCCAGAGATTTGTGGTGGGGTTATCTCAAGGGTGGGGAACCAATGGCCCTTCAAATGTTCTAGGACTCCCATCTCCCATCAGCCAGCATGACCAAAAGAAGCACAGGTTCCATAACCCTGGGATAGGGGATGGTTCCAGCGAATAGAGTTTTTGTGGGTGACAAGGTGCACCTAAATTTTAAGGGCCAAAATAGATGTGACACTTAAGATACATGATTGGACATCCTGGTATCGTTTATAGAAATAATAATCTTAAAAGCAGCTGCAGCCCACAGAGGACCCCAAATTAGTACAGTGGTACCTCGGGTTACATACGCTTCAGGTTACATATGCTTCGGGTTACAGACTCCGCTAATCCAGAAATAGTAGCTCGGGTTAAGAACTTTGCTTCAGGATGAGAACAGAAATCGTGCTCTGGCAGCACGGCAGCAGCAGGAGGCCCCATTAGCTAAAGGTTAAGAACAGTTTCAGGTTAAGAATGGACCTCTGGAACGAATTATGTACTTAACCCGAGGTACCACTGTACAAGGTGGAATCTAGACACATATTAAAAAATGCTGTGAAAATGCTTTTTTAAAAAAGGTTTTAAAAATATATTGAATTTGCCATAAGCTCACCACGGCCATCTAGTGTCACATTTAAATAATGCACTTAAAACGCACTTAAAATGTTATATTTACAGCTATATAGCTGAGTTCCCAAGGCAGTGGGGCCGGTCCGTCCGCCCCATTTCCCCAAGTCAAAATCCTTTCCCCCATTTCTGTTTGTTTCCCCTCTTCCTATAGAGTTATAGGGAGGGTGATTTCATTCAGGAAAACAGTACATAAGGTTAGACATCCTTCTCACAATACTGTTGCTCTTAAGTCATTCCAAGCCCAGTCGTGGCTGCTTTTAAGCATTAGAAAATTCCCATCATCCCCAGCCATTAACCTTGGCGGCTGGGGTTGATGGGAGTTGTAGTCCAACAACATCTGGATGGAACCAAGTTGGAGAAGGCTGATGTAGAGGAATTTGATTGTGGATCTCCCATGCGATGAGCAATTTGGCTTGAAGTGACACCAATGTATGATATCATTTGCACTGGTCTACTTTCCACAGCCTCCAGTGCTAAGAACCACAAGATCCACCACATCTCCCAAATGGAAATCCCGGCTGTGCTCATTGGAGATCACAAGTGATCAAGTGGTGGCGGAAAAATTGCATACCTTTTGCACGATTTGGGCCTGCTTTTTTTGGTCTGCTTTCTATAGATGTTGGTCGATCCAGGACGTACGGAGTAGACTAGCCAAACAGAAAAAGGCTATTTAATACGTGTATGTTGCTATTTCAATTGTTCTTCATGTGTAGACTGTTTTGTATGAGTTTTAAAAAAAGAAGGGGAAAAAAGACAGAGAGCCAGATATGAATACAAGATGGGAAATAACTTGCTTAGGGGCAGCACGGGAGCCAAAAATTGC